GGGCGTGATGGCCGCACGCCCGCCGCTCGCATCGCACGGCAGGGCAAGCAGGTGCTGCATCACATCGCGGGCAGCAAACACCATGCCCATGGCTTCATTGGCCTCATCCTCACCCTCATCATCGTCACCACTGTAATCGTCGTCATCATCATCGTCATCATCATCAGCATCATCATTCTCATCGTCGTCGTCGTCTTGTTGGCGGGTGATGGCAGCGATGAAGCGCAGTGCGATGCTTTCGCAGATGCCGTGTACGATGGCAGATGTGCCCGTGGGCCGGCCAGGACTGCTTTCAGCATCATTGTCATCGCCATCAGCGTGGTCACCACCAATGCTGGTGTTGTTGATGGAGTTGAGGGCAACTTGCAACACGTCACCGCGTGCGTCAGAGCGGCGGGCAATTGACAGCAGGCTGAAGAACGCGTACAGCATCTGCTCGTTCTCCTGCAGCTTCTTCAGCACCTGAAACACGTGCTCATCGGAGGTGATGCTGATGTCGTCCCCAAAGCACAGGCACAGACCGCGCCAGATGTCCAGCACGTTGGCGCCAACGTGGATGTTGGCATAGCGCACCCAGTCGACCAGCAACAACGGCCCAACAACCGCAGCTGCGTTGTGTACCTGAGACATGTCACCAAACCCGTTCCCGCTCTCGTCATCATCATCGTCACCGTCATCGTCATCATCGCCATTCGCATCCAACTCGTCCACATCATCGTCATCATCATCGTCCTCGCGCTCGTCCATGTCGCTCGTCCATGTCGTCCACGTCATCATCGTCCTGTGTGTCCATGATGTCAAGAGTGACGTCGTCGGTGCTCACACCGGCCGCCATGGCGTGCGAAAAGGCGTCGCGCACGCGTGCGATGAACCCCTGCACGTGGCTGGCACGCGTCTGCTCCGTGCGCGCCGCGTCCATCTCGGCAAATAGCGCCTCTGCCAGCGCACACAGGCTGTTGTACCAGCGATGCGTTTCTGGGAGCCGCAGTGACACGGGACGCAGCACACTTGTGGTTGCAGGCGAAATGTCATCCGCGTCGCCCTCGTCGCCAACAACTGGCTGCTCGTGCTGCGCAGTGCTGGCGGCAAATGCGCGCGCCGTGGACGGCAGTGCATCGAGTGCGAGCACGGCGTACGCCCGCGGGGAAATCTCGAGCTGAGCAAGCAGCGCGCGCGTGGCGTCGTCAGGCACAAGCTGCCTCACATCGGGCACAAAGTGGTGCTGCTCCATGCTGAAGATGATGCGTGCGAGCGCAGACAGGAATGCCTCACGCGCCGTGCGCACCACACGCTGCCCAAACGTGGCGTAGCTTGGCTGCTTCATGTCCTGCTGCGCCAGCTGTGCAACCCACGTCGTGGTGGAATCCAGCATCAGCGCCGCCGCGTGCGCCAAAATCATGCACAGCTGCTCGCCCTCCTGGTCTTGGGACGTGAGCGCGGCCAGCAGCCGGTCGATTGAGGACCGCGCACGCTGCTGGCAGTGCGGCACGCGCGAGAAGTCGATGCGCGAGTAGCACCACCACAGCGCGTCTGGGGTGATCAGGCGCCGGTAGTGCAGCAGCGAATGATCGTGGCGCAGCACCACGTCCTGCAGAGAGTGCGAGCACAGCTCAATCAGGTTGAGGGTCGGCTCAACAACAGGTGGCGCCGATGGCCCAGCTGGCACATGCATCGCCGCACCGCCAACATCATCACCGCCACCGCTCACGTGCTGCGTATGCTGCTCCTGCTGCAGGGCTTGTGCAGCAAAGGAGGGCAGCGAGCCGAGATCGTCGCAGTAGCGCAGCTCCCACTCCGCAGACGCGGTGATGGTCTGCAGCATGGCCACTTCCTGCGCTTGCTTGCGGAGGCTCGTCGTCTTGGAGTGCATGTGCACGCACACAATCACGCGGCTGCACCCCTGGCCACCATGTGTGTGCTCACCGTTGAGACCAGCATCGCCGCGCGTCTCCCGGTCAACGCCAGCCAGCAGGCCGTCCACCTTCTCCTGCACCATGGCCAGGTGCTTGAACTCGTTGAGCAGCAGCTGCACCACAACCGTGCCGTGGTGGCCGGCGCGGCGCAGTGCTTCTCGCAGCTCAAGCGACAACATGCGCTCAGACTTGATGTCGGACACACGCACAATCTCACACTCCGACACCTCCCTGAAGGGATAGAAGATGCTGGTGCGCGTCACCAGCAACAGGCGGCGCAGCGGCTGGGCCGGCAGCGGCTGGGCCGGCAGCGGCTGCTGACGTGCCTTCTTCGCTTTGCTTGGTTTCACCAGCATCTCATCGTCATCGTCTTCAGCGGCACCTTCATCAGTGGCGGCGTCGTCATCATCATGACCACCAGCACCACCAGCACCACCATCGCCATAATCGCCATAATCGCCTTTGCGCACACTGGCCCCTTGCTGTCCGTCACCACCACCACCGTCACTATCCCCTGACGGAGCACCAAACCACTGCAGCCACTCGAGCAGGCCCGTGAGGGAGTGGTGTGAGGATTCATGCATGTACACGTCAACCACGCGCTGCTTGTCCTCGTCCGAAAACTGCGTCAGCGACACCAAAAACTCAAGCGTCATCAGGTCAATCAAGCTGTGCTTGATGCGTTGCTGCAGCTGCTGTGCCAGGTCAGGGGTCAGGTGCCACTGAGATGCGCGCAGGAACCGGCTTCCCGTCGCACCACCAGCATGTTGTTGCTGCTGTTGCTGTTGCTGTTGCTGTTGGAGATAGCTTGGTGGCACGTGTGCTTTCAATTCTTCCTCTTGGTGTTGCAGCAGTTCCTGCCAGCTCTCGTCACCGGGCTCCTGTGACTGCCACGCACTGGTGGCCTCTCCTGGTGCACTCGGCGCCGTTGGTGTGGCGGCAACAGCTGATGTGCTGCTGCCTCTGCCACCGCCGCTAGTGCCAGCCAGATTGGTCCCACCCGATCCCATGGCGGCCTGCATGCTCGCCAGGTGCTTGAGCAGCAGGCTTGGCACCATGTTGTCGCTGTAGCACGGGATGGCCCTCGCCTTGTCCCTTGGCGTCACGGCGGACGTGTCCTGTCCACGCGCAACGATGCGCGTGAGCCAGTTCTCCACCTGCATGCACACGTCCCGCTGGTCCTCCGACAACACGTCTGGGAAGCTGAGCAGGTGCTTCTCAAAGCGGTTGAGGAAGGGCGGGTCATACGTCTGCATCTTCTCCCGATCCATCAGCACGACGCAGCGGAAGCGCTCATGCACGGGGCACAGTGGGTTGCTGAGGGAGCCCAGGGCAATGGTGCAGTTGCGCCGGCCCTTGATCATGGTGTAGCTCTGGTTCAGCATGTCGTACAGGCTGCCGTAGATGGAATCAAGGTCCACCAGCACCAGCACGCCACCATGCTCCATCTTCAGGATGATCTGACTCAGCACAGAGTACGGGTACTCCTCGCTCACCACGTCCGCCTCAAACTGGCTGCCGCGGATAATGAGGGCGTTGCTCGTGTCCAAGCTGGAGAAAGTCTTCAAGATGGACAGCGCCGCGCGACCGACGGACCCGATCATTAGGTGGCGCGCAAACACGTCCTGCCAATTGTCCTCAATGCATGCCACGGTGCTGTGGCTCGCATTCATCAGCGTGGTACCACCCCACTTGCTGCAGCTGCTCTTGCACAAGCGTGAAGAAGAGCTGTCGATCGCTGTGGGCGGTGTCGCCTCCGAGCTTGCCGGAGAAGTTGCGGATGATGGCGGTGGCCACCACACCCTCGCTCGCATTCAGCTCGTCCATCCTGCGGCACACAGTCTTGCATACACTGTAGAAATCGCGGAGGCCAAAGAAGGGCTGGCGGTTCTCGGCCTTGCACTGCCTCATGTAGGCGTTGTAGCCATTGGCCACCCCTGTGAGCACCGTTTGCAGGGGAAGAGGCAGATGATGATTCCACACGTCGCCCACGTTGGCGACGTTGTGCTCCTTGGCGATGAAGCTCTTGGCAATCGTCATTGCGGTCCTGCAAAGATCCTTCCGCGACGGCTCCGGTCGGGAGATGTGCAGTGCGCGGTTCATCTTCGCCGCATCGAGCGCCCAGTTGGAGATGCCGACGACGCCAACACGGAGCTCGCTGCCGTCTGGCGGCTCAAGTTTGGCGTGCAGCACCTTGAGCGGGTTGTGGCGCGAGTACTCGGCCAGTCCAACCTCATCCAGCACCACCACGGGCAGCACGTCTTGATGGTTGGCGCTGTCCAGGTACGCTTCCGCACGAGCAAATACCTGGAGGATGCCCTCGCTCGTCGCCTCAACGCTGCCTTGGTACGCAAACACGGTGATGCCCGGGTACAGCTTGAGCAGCGGGTCGCGCGAGTCACGGCCACGAAGACTGTTGTTGACCAGGCTCATGCTCACCGTCTTGCTGTTGCCCGGCTTGCCAATCAGGAAGATGGGGATGCGGTTGAGCAGCGACACCACAATGGAAAACGTGTTCTCCAGCAAGGCCGCGTTCTCTGCCAAGTTCTGGAACTGCGGTGCCCGCCTGTCCATGCGATCCACCATGTCCAGCTGCTCCTCGCGGATGAGCTGTGAAATGCCATCGCGGCCTCGCTTGTGACGTGCACCAACGTGTGCAATGCACTGGTCGAGCAGTTCGATACGTTTGCTGTCTTCAGGGAGACGCACCATGTAGCACTGGCTGAGCGACAGCCACGCGGCGTGCATGTTCTCAGACAGGCCTCCGAGGACTGTTTTGCGCTCTCGTCGCTCAGCACGGGGCAGCCTTGCCCTCTGCTGCCGCCACTTCTTGAAGAACTTGAAGAGCGTGCAGAAACGCTTGACGTCACGCAAGCTGATCATGTGATCTGTCTTCTTCCTCAGGTAGTCGTGGCACTGATACAGCATCTCCACCACCACATTCTTCTCGTCCTGGTCCAGCCCAAGGCCGTCCACCATGCTGCCCATGTACAGCCGCTCGTCGCCAGCGGACAGCTCGCCAAAGTCCCACACGTACGGCAGCATTGCCTCCGGCAGCGGGTGCACGCGGTACATGAGGTGCGACTGCGCGTCAATGGGCTGGCGCTCCGTGGTGACCAGCCCTGGTGTTGGCGCTGGGCAGTCACGGCGCTTGTACGGGTTGCACGCAGCCGCAATCTTGACGTTGTCCGGGATGGAGCGGGAGCCGCAGCGGCGGCGCACAATGATGTCGGACAGCAGGTCGAGGTGCAAGCACGTGTTGATCTCGTCAAGGAAGATCCACACGGGGTTGCCTGCCGCTCCTGTCGCTGCAGCTGTCGTTGCACTTGTGATGGCTGCGTTGACGTAATCGATAATGTCCTGTGCTGTGGTGCCTGCGTGAATGCCAAGTGGCCGTTCGTAAACCACGTCGCTGCACATGTGTGCCAGCTGCTTGAAGAGGGACGTCTTACCGCAGCCTGCGTGGCCCATGAGAATGCACGGCACGTTGTTGGTTATGCGGATGTAGATCAGCACCATCTTCAGCAGGTTGTCTGGTGTCATGGCGTACTGGCCCTGCTCTGTGTTTTTGTTGTGGCCCAACAGCTGCTTGATGCGCACAAACAGCTCTTTCGACGAGTGTGCGTCCATTGGCTTGAGCGGCGCACCCTGCACCTCAAAGTACTTCCGCACCTGTGGCGGCACGCTGTTTGGGTCCGAGTAGAAGGGGCATGCGCACCCGTCGTTGGCAGCGCACAGCATCCAGTGCTCCATCTCCGTCCACGTGATGGCTCTCTCCATCTGCCGCAGCATGGCATCGGTGACCGTCCCTGCCGCGTCCTGGTGATGGTGCTGCGCGTCTCTCACGGCGTCAACGGAGGGCACGGCGAACCGCTGAGCCGTCTTCACCACCGCCGTCAGCACGCCGCGTCGAATCTCCTGTGCGCGCTCCTCAGCCAACTCCATGAAGTTTTGTAGCGTGTTGGCGGTGAGGAACGAGCTGGTGAACATGCGCGGCAGCTGCTGGGCGGCGACGAGGAGGAAGGTGTTGAGCTCGCCAAAGGAGGCGTGGTTCTCTTGCAGGCGCGGGAAGTATTGCGTCAGGAGGCGAATGCAGTCTCCCTTGCTCAGCGGTGTCGGCTCAATGCCATCCATGGCGTTCAGATCAGGTTCCCTGTACACCACGTCCGTGAGCTGGTCCCTGTGCAGGAGGTCGAGGTAGCGGCAAGCACGCTGGATGGGCGAGCTCGTATCCGTTGGCACGTGAATATTGTTTGCGTCCCACCCAAGCACTTCCTTGGTAAAAGAGGCAGTGGGCGCGCCCGTCTGTGCAGGCGCAGCCTGTGTGGCGGATGCCGCCACTTCATCGGCAAACGGGGCCTTGGTGGTGAGCGCGAGCTGCTGGCTCAAGCTGTCGTGCAGCGTGTTGCCAATCTCAACGTACACTGCGACGTGGCGTGGCACGTGCCACAGCCTGTCGTCGCGCGAGAGGCAGCGCAGCACCAGCAGCTGGAACAGATGCATGTTGAGGTCATCCTCAATGTTCAGTGCCGCCCCGACGTCAATGTACAGTGCCTTGACGCGTGGGTCCATCAGCGGCAGGCGAGACAGCTTGTCGTGCAGGACGTCAAACGTGTCCTGCCCAGAGACGAGCAGCGTGCAGTAGTGTCCGCCATCGCCAGCAACAGCGTCACGCGGGAGGGTTGCTGTTGTCGCCATGCCTGCAGGCACGGGCCCACTCAGTGGCACGGGGAACTCAAACAGCGCGTCCAAAAACTCGTCGCCTTCACCATCGTCATCGGATGAGAAGAGCGTCGGTGATGCGTCGCCATCCCCTTCATCGTCGTCCACAAGGTCGTCCCCGCCATCAGCACCACTGCCACCCGTTTTCGTCGTGGCGGTAGTTGCGGTGGTAGCTTGCGACGTGCGTGAGAGCATGGACGAGCGAAGCGGCCCGCGTCGCCCAACACGGCCACTGCCACGTCCACTGTCGCCATCACCATCACCATCACCATCACCATCACCAGCACCGTTGCTGCCGCCATCGGCAAGGCGTGCGAGGTGGTGCTGGATGAAGGTGGATTTGCCCTGCTGCGCGTACTCGCTGGCAACAACGGTGACAGCACCGTGCTCCCTCGTGTGCAGCGCGTAGTTGGCCAGCAGCTGTTGCGCCACGTGCCCCGTCAAGTCCTCGTCCACCAGCCCCGCAACGCCGTGCAGGAGGCGACTGCGCGTGGTGCGGCGACACACGACGGTGAAGCGTGGCAGCGGGCGGCTTGACTCCGGCACGTGCTCGCCAACAGCGGGTGCGAATGGCTTTGAGGAGCGATGGTTGGAGCAGCGGTGGCCCCACTTGGTCAACTCCTCCTTCAACTCCGCCTGCGCTTCAATGCTGAGCAGCTCCGGATACACGAGCACAAACGGCAGGTCTGTTGTCTCCTGGCTGCGGGCAAGGAACAGCCGCACAATCGCCACGCGCGTGTGCTCGGAGCAGAAGAGGCACTGCGCAGGCAGGTACTCCAGGTTGGCGTCCGTGAATGCAGCGAGGATGGAGGCGGCAGCCGTGCGATCGTCCTCAGACAGCAGCACCCGCACAAGATCGTGCTTGGCAGCGTGGCGGAACGGCGGCAGCATGCTCTCGTCAATCATTCCAGAGGGGTGAAGGGCGCGTGGTGGCGGCGCATCGATGAGCGACTTGAGCATCGCCAGCAGCTCGCTCAGCCGGTGCACGTTGTCATCGCATGCACCCATGCTGTTGAGCACATCGCGCACATACAGCGACACCTGGTGCACGTCAGCGTGGGGACCGAGCATGGCCAGCAGCAGCTGGTCTCGCTCCTGCACCAGCTCCTCATCGTGGTGCTCGTGTGGTTGCACGAGTGCATGGAACAGCACCACCAGCTGGCGGTTGGAAAAGATGTTGAGCACGTCATAGCGCTCGCGCATCTCCTTCAAGCGCTCCGTCCACAGCAGGAGGTGGGTCTGCAGCGCACCCGTGTAGTCCTTCAGGTTGGCGCCTTGTACCGCCATCGCGTGCGTGTAGCAGTTGAACTCTTCAAGGTGTCCGCTCTCCGCCAGCTGCTTCAGCTCTGCCATGGCCAACTCGACGCCTTCCACCAAGTCCCTGAACCGCTGCATGTGCACACGCACGTCCTGGTCCTGGTCTGTGGACAGCAGGCACGCGCGCGCACGCAGGTCGCTCACGTCGCGCTCCGACAACTCAATGTCCTCGCTCCTGTGGCGGATGCAGATGTGGTAGCTTGCGGTCTGGCGGAGCGAGTCGCACCTGAACACGATGCGTGCGCCTTCGACGGAGGGATCAACAACGAGGCGAATGCGTTCGCGGGCAGCGGCACCGCGGTCGCTCAGCGTATTCACAAACAGCTGCAGCGCCTCAAGACCTTGGTTGCAGATGCGCAGCAGTTGCGACAGCGGTAGGCGGTCTGGCTGGCGCGCCGATGATGCTGACGACGACGCCGAACCTGATGTTGCTCCCGAGGAGGATGCAGCATGGCCCTGGCTCTGGTGAAAGCGCTGGCTGAGAAGACGAAGAAAGTCCTCCAGGTCCTTCGCCTTTGTGTCAGCGTTGATGAGCGGGAACATAAACGAGTGCAGCAAAATGAAGGCGTTGACCTGCTCGGCTGTGGCCATGTATGCGTCGGAACCAAACGCCTCCGCGCTCGCCGTGTAGTGGCGCACGTCACCATCCTGTTCCCGCAGGAACTCGAGCAAGTTACCTGCGTCGGCCATCTCACCAAGCACCTCCCACACGTCCGGATCGTCAGGGACATGTGACTGTACGTCCTGCACAGCCGTGTGCAGGTGGCGGAGTGTCTGCGAGTCGTCCACAGCCAGCACCGCGTCGATGGCATCGGTGAGATCGGAGCTCTGGTGCTGCAGCAGGTCCTGGCACACCTGCAGCACACGGCCAAGCTGTTCTGCGCGCTGTGCATAGTGGCGCCGATCAACGTAGCTGGAGAGCTGATTCACCAGTTCCTGCACGTGCCACGTTGTGCCAGCGTTCATGGGATGAGTCAGCACTGTACACAGCAGCGTCATGTCGTGTTCCACCTGTGCGCGCGTGAGCCCTCCCCACATGACGTGAAGATCAGACAGCGGTGTGTTGGAGCTGAGTTGGTTGAACAGCCGCGCGTGCTCCGCCAGCAGGTCCGTTGTCTTCACCAGTGTCTCCTCCACCTCCTTCTTTGCCTGCGCCATGACGGCCTCCCGTGATGGCGGTGGTGCCGTTGCAGCGACGGCAGGTCCACCCTCATCAGCATCGTCATCGTCGTCGTCATCATCAAACAGCGGAAACATGATCTCATCATCATCATCGTCAGCGTCAGCGTCGTTGTCGGCGTCATTGATGTTGTTGTCACCATCCCCTTCGCCGTCGGTGTTGCCCTCAGCACCACTCGATGCTGCTGTTGTTGCTGCTGCTGCCGTTGTTGTTACAACACCCGTGTCTGTGTTAGTGTGCAACTGCTTGTTGACAAAGGCACGGAATGTGTAGCTCATTGCACGCTGGTGGATGGCGTGGAGGAGGCCGTTGTCGGCAACAGCAAGCGCCCCGTTCCAGCGATGGTTGTCGCTGACTTGGCTGAGCGGGCGTGTCTGCCACGTGTCAAGCGTCTGTGGTAGGCTGGCCACCCACGTATTGGTCGGCAGCACATCCGACAGGTAGCGGTGCAAACTCTCCACCGTCATGCTCTCCCCGGCAAGGCGATCACGTGCCCTCAGCGCCTCATCAATCAGCATGTACGGTTCCTGCACGCCTTTGGGCGACACGATGCCCATGAGATTGGCGAGTGTCGCCCTGTTGTCACGCAGCGCGCCTGGCTCCTGGTTTGGTGGGAACAACTGCGCAATGTCCGCTGGCGTCTTGGCGAGGTCACGCCACGCCTCGTATTCGTGGGCCAGGATCTGTCGTGCCGCCACCGCCGGCAGCGTCTGCTGCCACTCGTATGGCGAGGGCGAGGTGAGCACCAGCCGCCACAGCGCGGGGCGGGTCGCAACGTCGGTGAGGGTTTGCGGGGTGGTGAGCTCTGACAACATGTCCACGCCAACGCGGCGGAACATGTTGTGGTTACTTCTGCCCGGGTGTGTTGCTGTGAGCAGGGTCTTGAGGAGGGCACACAGGTCCTTATCGCCGGCCTGGCGATGCTTCCGGGCGAGCGCAACAGCGCGGTCAGCAGCGAGACCGAAAAGGTGGTTTGGTGTCGTTTGCTCCACAGTCAAGACAACGCCGTCGCCACTCGATGCGGAAATCAGCTGCTGGAAGAAGGCGACGAGGGGCACGTTGCTCTCTTCGACACAGTCGCCGGCGAGCAGGTAAATGGGCTTGAACTTGTGCATGCGTGCTGCCACCTCAGCCGCCCTGCCAGCTGGCATGCTGCTGATCACACCGAGTTGTTGCTGCAATCTGTCTTCGATGGTGGTGGCGAAGCGGATGAGTGAGCACACACTCAGCTCCTTCACCGTCTTGGTGCGTGGCTGCTGATACTGCTGGTGGTGCTGATACTGGTGGTGCTGGTAACCGTAGGAGCCGCCGGCGTAACGGCTGCTGCCCGAGCGCAAATTGTACCCATGCGAAGTCGCAGCCGCGTACGTGCGTGGGCCGCGCGATGATGACGACGATGCACCAGTGGCGCCAGAGTCAGGGCTATCCACAGTGACGGTTCGCGTCTCGGTTGCTTCTTCCTTCAGCCAGGTGCGCATGCCTGCCTCCACCTCTGCTGGCGACACCACACTCCACATGCTCGTGTATGCCTGTATCTGGGTAATGCCTTCAGGGATGGTGGTGAGGAGGCTGTCCAGCATGGCGCGGCAGATTTTGCTGCTGGTGTTGTTCATGAGCATCTGCATGAGCCGCCCGCGCTGGTCAGATGTGAGTTGCGCCGACTTTGCCAGCTTCGTCGCACCCGTGGCGAGCGGGTGGTCTGTATCGTTGCCAATCGATGGTAGCTGGCTCAGCCACACGTCGAAGATGTGCTCCTGCGCCTGTGGCAGCGTGGACATGTACTTGAGGTAGGCGCCCGATGTGCCCGCAGCCCGCTTCTTCTTGTTGGCGCCCTTGCCGCCAGTGTTGGTGAGGGCAGTGCGCACCACCCTGCCAAACTTGCCGGGGTCGTGTTCGCTCAGCACCTTGCCCGCCGGGTGCGTGGCAGCAAAGGACAGCGCATCCTCGTGTGAGAGCTGCGCGGGGATGGCGCGAGCAGCGAGCCACATCATTGTGTCGGCGCTGATGTGGATCGTCTCGTGGTACTGCTGCACGAAATCAGCGGCATCCAAGATGTCGTCCTCGCTGTACTCGATTGGCGCGCGGCTGTGATGGTGGTGATGGTGAGTGTGGTAGGGACTGTAGGAGTGGTGTGAATTGGTGTTGCTGTTGGTGGTGGGCAGCTCGGCCGTGTGCTCGATCTTCTCTGCCTCAAAGTTTGGAGTGAGCCCCAGAACGAGGATGACAAAGCACAAGTCATTGTATCCGGCGTCCCTGTCGTAGGAGTAAGTGCTGTTGGTACTCGTGTTGATGAGGGCAGCCAGCAGCTGCAGGTGATTTCGCAGCAGGTTGGGGTTGCTGGCAGAGAAAAGTTGAATCGTGTTGGGATCAGACACGAGCGCGCTCTGGATCAGGACGCGCGTGCTGGGACGACACTGCCGTGACTGCAGCTCGCCAACAACGCTGATGACGCCAACGGCCATGAGAAGACGAAGCACCTGGTGCCCCGTCAGGGAGTCCATAAACGGGGCGTTGCTCAACACGTTATCCATGACCTCGTGCATCGGCATTATGTTGAGCAGGGCACGCAGCGCGCCGTCGTTGTCGTCGCGGCGTAGAAACCGCTGGATGAAGAATCGAATCGCCTTTGCACGGAGGTGGTGGTTGTCTGTCGCAAAGTCGCTGAACACGTGCACGTGCGTGGTCTTGTCATCCTTGATGGCGAGCTCACGGTTACGGCCACGCTGCCACTCGAGTGATCCCTTGCCTCGAATGCGACGGTACATGTTTGACCACACGCCGTCGTCCTCAAAGTACTTGGCGAGCTTGTACGGGATGGTCGTTGGGCCGCGCACAGACACGGTGAAGGTCTTGGTGTAGTAGCGCTCACGCGAGCTGCTGCTGCCACCACTGGCTGAGTAGCGGTAAGCGCGATCCTTGGTGCCACGCCCCCCTTGCTTCTTCTTGCCCTTCTTCTTTCCTTTCTTCTTTCCCTTGCCCTTGTCCTTGCCCTTGCTCTTGCTGTTCCCCTTCTTCCCCTGTTGCTTTGGTCTGGACCAGCCACCAAACCGCGGGCTCGACCTTGCATCGTGAAACTCCTCACCATCATCATCATCGTCATCATCATCATCATCAGCAATACCATCATCGGCATCATTGTCGTCGTCGTCTTGTTGCTCTGGCAGCCGTGTTTCGGCGTTTGGCATCCAGACCTCCTTGCCATCTTCGTCGTAATATCGGCCAAATACCGGGTGGCTCCCGAGCATGTGGATGATTTGTCCGGGCGCCTCCATCACGTGCACGTGCTGCGCAACAGAAGCGATGACGTCACAGGAAGCAGCATGTGAGGACAGCGGAATGCGTTCGTGATGTGTATTTGAAAGAGAGAGGGGGGGGGTGTGTATGTGTGTGTATGTGTGTGGTGTGTGTTTGTGTGTGTGTGTTTGAATGTGTGTGTGTGTGTGCATATGTGTGTGTGTGTGTGCATGTGTGTTGCATGTTGTTGGGGTGTGTTCTTCAACGCACCACTGTGACGTCGCGCATTGGTTTCGGCTGTTGCGTCACTGCACCGGCAACGTGAGGGCCAGCTGTTGAAAAAAAAATTGCAGATTGGATGAATGGGAGGAACACAAGTTCAAGTGACCACAACCTCACAAACGCAACAACATCATACATACAAGCGTACACTTCACCCACCCACGCACACACTCACGCACACACCCGCGCACACACCCACGCACACACCCACGCACACACACACACACTCAAGCACACATCACGCACACACACACACGCACACACTCGCACCTGCTGTGTCGTGTTGGTGGTATGTCGTGGTTGCAGCAGCTGAAGGGTTGGTGGGAAACTTGGTCATGGCAGACGACTGCGTTTGGTGCTGTGACGACGACGGTGATGATCCTGGCGGCGCTGTTGCCTTACTGCCAGGCACGTGGGGCGTTGATGACGATGATTGCGGTTGTTGTTGATGTGGTTGGTGCTGCTGCTGCTGCTGCTGCTGCTGTTGTTGTTGGGTGGTGGCTTGCTGGTGTGAGCTGTACCCCCCACCCAAAGGATGTTCGAGCGGTGGTGCTGAAGCCTTGCTGCCGGGCACGTGCGTTGGTGTTGGTTTGGGAGCCGTCATCGCTCCAGCAGCACTGGCTGCGTCAGCCACATTGGGCGGTGCGTCTGTCTTTGCTGTGCATGCCGATGCCTGACCATCGCCCTCGCCATCCTCCTTCAGCGTGTTTGGTGGCGTCTTGAACCCAAACCCATCATCTTCATCGTCTTCATCATTGCCGTGCTCTCCGTGGTCATAATACTGATACTCATCGTAAGATGCCGTGACGGCGGTGGTATCTGCCACGTCAATGTCAACGCCACCGTTGCTGGCATCGGCGGCGTTGCCTTTGTGGTGGTGGTGGTGGTGATGATTGTGTTTAACGTCGTCGTCCACAGGCTTGTCAGCAACTGCCATGTTCTCACCAGCTACTGAAGCATCCGCGTCAATCTCATCATCATCATCGTCATCGACCACAACTGTTGCCGTCCCATCTGTTGGCTCAGCATCGCGATGGAAGCCGCTACCGCTGTTGGATGCAGGTGCTGCGATGGGCTGCGGCTGACTCGATGGTGCTGCTTGAGCCGTGGATGGCGCCAATGGCTGATCGGACATTGGGCCTTGTTGATTACCGACCCCAACACCAACATCATCGTCATCATCATCGTCATCATCATCATCATCACTGCCGCTGGTCTCAGCCAACTGCTTCTGCAGCTCTGCCATCTGCCGCTGCATCTCGAGCAGCTGCAGCCGCTGTGCTTCCTTTCGCGCGCGTCTGGCTTGCGCTTTCGCTTTCTTGGAGGCCGACGGTGGGGTAGGGTGCTCTTGCTGCTGGTGTGGCTGTTGATGTGGGTGTTGTTGTGGCTGTGGTGATTGCTGCTGATCAGGCTGTGGCTTGGAATGTAGAAACGAATGATGGTGGTGATGGTGATGATAGTTGTGATAGTGATGATAATGGTGATAGTGTACGACTTGGTGGTATGTGCCTGTCGTCATATCGGAGGAAATGCCTTCATTGTCCTGGAGACTGGCCGAGTGACTATCGGTGCAATTGCTCGTTTCCTGTTCACCATGAGATGAGGATGAGAGTGATCCTTCATTCAAGGAATCTCGTGCAGTTGAACTCTGGCAACAGTCGAAACACGGAATCACATGTCATCGTGACATAGACACAAGCGAAGGCGAGGACAGCGCGACAGCGGACACGTGCCTCAAGCCAAGCGAACAGTCCTCCCACTCAATAGACTGGCTGTTGTTATGTCTCAAGGTTCTTGTGTTCAACACTCACCATATTCGTGAACAGAGCGTACGCTCGTGGGCCAATGAGTGCAGTGTGATGATTTGACGTGGTTGCCGCTTGATTGTTCGTCTCCACAATCCAAACACCAGTCGACGCCTGAATGTCACCTCATGCGAAATGCCAAACAAGAGGAAGACATGCAGGCTTCCTTCCTGAAAGGTTTTGCCCGTGACACATCTGTTTCCATCGCAATTGCACCAAGTTACAGTTCCCCTCCACACGTAAATCATTCCCAATTCTCCACGCACGTTGCCAATCCTCAATTCAGGTTGAGCGTGTGTGGTTGTGACAGTGACATGGTTTGATGACACGCGAAGCTTGCTACGACACATCGCTCCATCTTCGTGCTTCCTTAAGCACTTGAGTAACACAATGTCGAGCACTCGTCGGTCGTGTGCCATGTCGCGTCGCATCACATGCAGTTCTGCGCTTCAATTGTTGACCTACGAGTGGATTTGTGAACAGGCACAGGCCTGGGTGAACTGTCTCATGTACAAGATGCAGAATCACGCCTTTAAGTACACGCTGAAGCACAAGCACCAGTACAAAACACACTCATGTCATGTCACATCAAGCAAACAAAAGCAAGAAGGAAACAAATACACCTCACCACCATCCCTCTCCCGGCCCCCTTCCCCACTTCCACACATGCACACGCTCGCGCACGCACGTGTCTCTTCACACAAATGCTTCCGGAGCCCAGCCGGTGCTGTCGTCGTCATCGTCGTCATCATAATCATCACTCGCTGTCTGATCTGCCTCATCGCTGTCCATGACAATCATAATCGGACGTGGTTGTTGTGGTTGCGTGTCGTGGCCGTTGTCTCGCCCGACACCGCCTTCCTCCCCATCGCTCGCTCCACCGTCGTGCTGCTGCTTTGCAACAAACGTTGCATCAGGATCATAGCCACCACGACCGTCCTCACCATCACCACCATCATTGTCATCGTCACCAAACTTGGCAGCCCGCTTGCCCACTTCCCTGCGCGTGTCGGCATGCGTGTCATGCACGTGTACATCATCACCATCGTGACCATCGTCCTCAAAGGTAGAGGAGGGAGCAGAGCTGTCCTCTGGCGGCGGCGGCGGTGGCGGTACTGGCGGCAACTCCCCATATGAGGACAGCCGCTGCCCTGGCGCCACCATCATCGCGTTGCTGCTGCTGCTGCTGCTCATGACGATGCTGTCCTTATGCCGCGCAGTTGACAACGCATTCGCATCAGCCGCATCAGTTGTGTCGGCTGCGTCGGTGTGGCCTTCGCTGTCTTCGACATCCGGGGTTACTTGCAGATACCCAGCCGTGTCGTCATCGTGCGTGTGCTCGTCCTCCCTTGTTGGTGCTGTTGTCGATGGTGATGATGTCATTGCTGGTGCTGTTGTCGATGGTGATGATGTTGATGATGGCGCAACAGGCCGGAACGCGCTGCCGGATGCGGTGCGAGCACGCGATGACACCCCAGCCAACACCTTGTCTCTCCGCCCCTGTCGCTGCTGCTGCTGTTGGTGGTGGTGCTGCTGCTGTTGGTGGTGGTGCTGCTGCTGTTGGTGGTGGTGGTACTGCTGTGTGCTGCTCTTGTTACCATCACTAGTGTCGGTGCTGGTGGCAGGAGCACCGCCGACGGTGACGGGCGATGAGCGAACGCGGAGGCGCTGTGGCAGCTGATGTTTCTTGCTTGCAGGCACGGCGGTCGATGGCGCCACACCGGTCGTTGCTGTCGTTGTCGTTGATGATGACGATGACAGAACGCCCAAGCGGTGTCGCTGCTGCTGCTGCTGCTGTGTCGTCAAGTTGACGGGTGTGGCCAGCTCAGAAGTGGGCTCTTGACCAGCACCCTCCACCTCATCATGATCATCATCACCGCCATCATCATCCTCATCTGCCACCGCCGCCAAATCGCTCGCGTTGAATCCAAATGCGCTCGTCTCGTGACTGCGAGGCGACCGCACACCACGACCACCACCGTCACCACGACCACCATTGTCACCGCCATCAACGCCTGTGCGGGGACTGACAGATGCGGCGTGACGGCGGCGCGCTGCTGTTGCCGTTGACGTGTGTCCGGATGGAGACACGCTGAACCGACCCGACAATCGCCCATATCGGCCTCGCCCTCCCTTTCCGCCGCCGCTGTTGCTGGCAGTCGACGTGCGGTCGCCACGGCCATCACCAACGCTCATGGTGCGGGTGGGCACACCGCCACCGCCAACATTGGCACTGCCTGGTGGTGTTGAGGCTGGCGACTCGCCGAGGAGAGAGATGCTGAATCTGTTGGCCCGCTGCCGCTTGCGTCGTGACAGCGGTGATGATGGCGTTGGCTGCATTGCGTCGCGGTACGGAAGCGTGCTGGTGGAGGGGGGAGATGTGTTTGCATGCGTGAGGAATGGATGAGGGGGGGGGCAACAAGAGAAGAGAAGAAAAACTATGGACCGTCACACACACACACACACACACACACACACACACACACACACACACACACACACACACACACACACACACACACACACACACACACACACACACACACACACACACACACACACACACACACACACACCTTTCGTATGTTGAGGGCAGCTGTGCGGGGCGTTCGTCAAAGTAGCGGTCAAACACGTGCTCGCAGTACTGTGAAGGGGCGGTGACAACACGAATACACATGGGCGTGAACGAGGGAGCGAGCGAATGTTCACAAGGACGCGAGCGGGCGAATACATATGTATTTGTGTGTGAGCGAGTGCACAGTTGTATTTGCGTGTGTGTGTATGTATTTGTGTGTGTGTGTGTGAGGAGTATCGCCCGATGTACATAATACAAGGTGTGCCATTCCACACCTTGATGATAATCTCGATGGCTGCGCTCTGCAGCGGCGTGTTCATCAGCGATTCCAGCGTCTAAACGCAGGAGGAGGAGGACGAGGAGGGGAAGGAAGGGAAAGGGGGGAGTCAAAACAAAGACGACGATGATGAGCGAGACTGAGGGATGTGTTGGGCGTCTGGTTCAAAGTGTTCCAGACACACAGACACCGACA